AAGAGACTGATCGATCTTCTCCGAAGAGGGATTTCGCAGAGACCCATCACGCGAGAGAGGACGAACGGGAGAGAGAGAGAGAGAGAGAGAGAGAGAGAGAGAGAGAGAGAGAGAGAGAGAGAGAGGAGTGTCTGCGGAGCAGAGGAAGGACGAGGGGTTATAGAGGAAGGAGCTCCCAACGGTCACATTGGTCTCCCAACGGTCATATTTTTAATAAGATTATTCTTTATTTCGAAATAGAGTCGTTACCTCCAACAGATCACATTAGAAAATTTAATAATAAACTATAGTTCTAATTAACATTACTTTTTCATGTGGAATTAATTAGTCGCCTCTTTCTAGTATATCATTATATAGCATGAAATTAAAGAGTTGGTAATAATTTTACTTATTATGTTGTTGCAACATAAATTTATCGGTATCCTCGATATTATAGTATACTTTAAATTTAAATAAGTAAAAATTATTATGTTAATTAGGAACCTTTCTTATCATAAATAACATTTAATGTCAGCTAAAAAAAATTTATCATGAAAAAGGCGAATTTTTCAAATCTTTGTGTTTTGTTTAAGATATTAAAAATTTGAAAAAAAAAACTTGTGCCGTTTTAAAGTGCCCTTAATTTTGAAGCACAAGTGCTAGGAAAAATACTCAAATTTTCCCTTTAGCAATTGTTGTTTAACTTCCTACTCCATCGGGTCAAGTTTTGCTGTTTCCTTGTCACTCAAATTCTGGCTCAAACCTTGTCCTATCTTTTTTACCTGCGAGACTCACAAGATATAAATAATTGTGTCGTACCAAGCTGACATAAATCGATGTGTTTAATAAATTTTCCTTTTCCACTTTTCTTTCTTCATCGCTTGAAAATTCATACTCATACTAAAATGCAAAATAAGTAACATTGTTGCCTTGAACGTTAACAGCCAAAAACTAACAAGAGCACGAGCATAAGCCATAAAATCATAAGTTTTTTTTTTCCAAAAAGGGATGACATAGCGGTTATGGTCCATTTTAAAATCGAAATGACAAGGGAAATTGTGTATATAAAGCGAGAATTTGTTAAGCAGCACGAATTCTTAAGAGAGAGATGGAGGTCAAATTGAGAGGATGAGGCCTTTAATTTATGGATACGTTTGTTTTCACGAAAAATAAATGATTTGAAAAATATTTTCTTAAAATTGATTGCTTGTATTGCTTATAAAAATGAATGAATGTAAAATCATTTCATTGTCCATAAAAATGTTTGAATACAAATTATTGTCAATAATGGAAATATTTTTTATTAATTAATTATTTCAAAAAATAGAAAAATGATTATTTTAAAGAAAATATTTTTTAATTCATTTATTTTCTGTGAAAGCAAACGAAATTTATATTTTTTTTTATTTTTTTAATATGATGAACGAAACTGTCTGTGGACCGTCCTAATCGCTGTGTCAGTGGCCATGACAGTTGGACTAACCATATTTTAAAAAAATGGCGGTTGTCGTCATCTCCAATTTGCATCCAAATCCCTTCGAAAAAATGATTATTTTATAGCTATATCTATGGTTAAACATATTTATATAGATAAAATCACAATCTATCTATATAAATGCATAGTAACAATATATTCCTAAAGAATCGTCTCTCATTATGACATATAGAACTCTGGATAATGAGAAAATTTCCTTCATACTATAGAGATTGGATTTGCTGCATTCACTACAAAAAATGATCCACCTAAGTCTATACTTACTACTCTTAATGAAATATTTGATATGATCTCTTCAGCTTAAAGACTTATCTTTTATTATAATTAATTACCTTTAACCACTCAAATATTCTTATAAATTGTGCCGTTATATTAAAAAGTAAATGATTGCGCAAATCTTTTGCAACACTTATTTCCTTATTTACAACTATTAGAATGTGAGCATGGTGCAGTTAGAGGAAAATTTTCCAAAAAAATCCTAAACATAGTGTATGTCGGCTAATTTAATCTTAAACTTTTCAACTTTACCAATTGAGTTCTAAACTTTGTAATGATTCGCCATTATAGTGCTTCTGGTGAATTTTTGTCGATAATTGCGAACGTGGACACCCGACATCTGACCAATAGCATTTGATTTTATGGTCTTGGTCATAAAATATTACAATTTCTGTTTCAACCATTAGATTGTATACATTTGATTGGTTTTCCTGTGACTTTTCCTTTATTTCCTCTTTTTTTTTGGCTAAAATACTCCATTATTTCCCTCAAGACGTCTTGACGTGGCCACATTCGATGACTTTCAACCATTTCATATTCACATATCAAAGGGATGACCCACTCTGAAATGTTACCTAGAAAAATTTCTAATTATTAAACCGCACCACCAAACCCCTACCCCTTTTTGTGAGTTATTAATTTTATGTTCATATGAAAGATCCTAATTAACTACTCCTGGTCAAACATTGCTAGTTCTCTCTCCTCTTTCTACCATCCGATTTGAGCTGATATCAGAACTTGCTTCATTTCATCACTCGAATAAGAGAAAAGTTACATAGGGGAGGTTTCGACGACAACTATAGGGCGTCTCTGTTCGTACCATGTTTAGAGTAAGGAGATGGTATCAACCCATGATTCAATTGAGCAATTCCCAACTCCTTGAAACGAAATCAAAGACTTAGCCAAATGATTTTAGTTGAAACCATCGTCTACAATTCAGGCATGGGCATTGCGGCCCTCGTCGGTACATAGTTGAAAAAGAAGAAAGAAAAAAAAGAGAAAACAAAACAAAAAATACTAACAAATTTTGCAAAATTAAAAGAAAAATGGAAAAATTATCCACGTCAAAACTGACCGTGCCACATAGACCTCATTGGCATCTCTGTTCGCACCATGTTAGAGTGAGGAGAGTGGTATCAACTCCTTTAAGCATGCAGCCTATTATTTATTTGTTATTTTCTTTTTCGCCTTTTCCCCTTCTTTGTTTATATTTTTTTTATAGTGAAGCGAAATTAAACAAAAAGTTAACTAAGTGCCAAAATAAATATGAACTATAATTTATATGCATGCATCTAAATTAGATGCCAAAATAATATGCAATATAAATCCGAATTTCATGAAAAATTGCACTGCTTTCCCTTGGAATTTCAACCTTAAACTTCCCGCGAGAACGAAGTTAGTGCACCTCAGAAAATAAAGAAAACTAGATGAAATGCTACGAATTAGAGCGAAACTAATCCACACTATGCGAAATCAACTTGGATGATTACATCTTTACTAATTGATGAAATTAACTATTAATTAGAAATGAAAATTTTTATTAAGATTCGTGTGCAAATTGAACTACATCGTGCACGTGCTTGCTTTTATTTCCTTTCTTCTTCTTCTTCTTTTTTTCTTCTTTCGCTTGTGCTGGGCGGGTAAGTCTGTCGCATATTTCCCTCTTGGTCGAGCCCATGAAAGGCAGCCAGGCTCGTGCGGGCTTCGGCTCGGAAGTTCAAATGAATTTATGGCTCATTTTGCGTGTCAGGTCGATTTGAATTCAATTTCACAACCAGATTTAAATGAAATTCGTAGCGGGGCCTTACGTTTTCTTCGGTACGAATATGTTATTCCTAACAAAATGTCGGTAGCATCTATATGCAGATGCAAAAAATGTGCAACCTCAAAAAGTTAGGTGTCAATATTCTATGATCACCACAATTAATAAATTCACACAAAATGAAAATCAAACATATTTAAATAGGCTATTTCATGTATAAATGGTAAAAATAATTAGCAATATCAATAATTTATACAATGCCGTTTTACGGTTTCGTTTGGTTTCGAAAAAGTGGAAACCAAGCCAAACCACAAAAAAACGATTTGTTTCATGGGCGAGATGGACAGGGGAAGTCGAGCTCGATGGGAAGGTGTTTTGATCGCCAGCAGCATCGTGGGGGTCGGACTGAGGCGAGGCTACATCGGTCGCAATGGATGGGGTAAGCAATGCCATCAACGTAGGCTTGTTGCTGGTGGCAACGCTTGAGGGGGGTTGTGGTTGAAGAAATGGGGCATTACGACTCTCGCTCCACTTAAGACGCTTTCAATCCGTTCCTGTCTCTTGCATCCGAGTCACGCATATACTAGAAAAGGGTCTTGTTCCAACGCCATTCTTATCGACCGACGCGATCACACGAGCTGAATTCTCAAAAAATACTTAGAGATGGCGATTGTTTGAGACCGAATTTCAAATATAAATCACTGCACAAGGTCTCTTCTACCCGAAAAGTGGGATTGTCGGGGGCTATAGCCTGAGCTGTCAGATTTTGTAATTACACGTGAGAGAAGTCAGCTCGCGGTCGCCATGGCTGCTCAAGCATTTGAGGTGCAGCCAAGGCTAGCGGAAGAAAGGTCGTGAGTGGGTACAAAGGAATTGCATTGTTAGGGTTTAAATATTTTGAAGAAGAAGAAGAATTCCAGGTCAAAGATAGAGTCAACGTCTGAATATAAAGAAAAAAGAAGAAGATAAATATCAACAAATATTTAACGACATTTACACCACATCAACAAAAATTCACAACGGCCCCAAAGTATTTAGCAACATTCGAACCTATTTGAGGTTGTAGCTTTAAAACCATTTAAATTTCAAAAGCCCAAAAGTGAAAAAGTACCAACTTCCAATATTAAACCAAACAAAAATTCACAATGGGCCCAAAATCTACTTAAAATCGAAAAGCATAAATGAAAAATAAAATAGATGTCCCACGGAACGCTACGGCCTCCAGGGTATATAGTTCTCGGATGGTTTTAGTTCTTGCGTTTGATTATTTTCTATGGTATAGTTAATTTTTTTCTTTCAAGTGATTAATTTGATATATTTAGTCTATTTGCTTATTTCAACGTTTAGGAAGGAATTCAAAATGCCATTTTCAACTAATTAAAACTAGTACGTATAGATCTCCAGAGCAAGCTTGCATTAAAATTAATAACGAAGCTTTTTTTCTCAGTAAAGTTTATATGCTTGTTGCGATTCTTATGTCTGTTTTTTAATACTTTTGGTCATTACATGGCATCTAAAAGATTGGAGAAAAATATTAGTAACAATCCCCAGCTCAATCATCATCCTTGTTGTCAACCACCTGTGAATCCCACAATTACGCCATTGATGTTGACGACGAAGATGAATTGGCCAAAGCCGAAACCCTACAAAACTCAGTCGTTAATCTCTCATCACTCGCTCTCTCCACAACAAAATGCCCAAGCTTACCAACAACCTCCACCAAGTTGTCCCTGCACAAGAACTCGTCGCTATAACCTCTCTCCGCCTCCCTATCGAAGTCCTGCACGAATACGTGCGTCTCCGCTGCCCTGCCCTTCTTGCTCCTGGCCAGCACAGCCGCTGTGAATATCGCCGACATCCTCCCTGGGGCCGCTTCATGGTACTCGCTCGGCCCGTCGATTAGTATCACATCCCAACTCAACTGATACACGTGATTCCTCAAGCTGTTCAATGCGAGCTTGCATTCCGAGAAGAGCAGGTTCTGCACTGGCCGGCACTCGCCGCAGAACTTGCCTCTAGCTGACTCGAGCAGCCTCTTCATTTCACTGACCCTCATCTCATACTGTTGGAAATATTGGATAAATTGATGGGTGAATGAATGAGAAATTGATGCTCAAAGAACACCATTGAGTTGGAAGTGGGAAGTGAAAAAACACTAGTCCCACATTTGAAAAGAAAGAAGGCTATGGAGTGCTTTATATACAGTTACACTCATTTGAAGTGGCAACTATCATAGCACAAACTTTATGCCTCGCGTGCAGGCACATGGGGGTGCAAATCCGACGCCCAACAAGCTGAAACTTGGGCACGATTGCAGGACCGAAAAGTGGGCCTCGCAACGAGCCCAATTTTGCCTTCTGATTTATTTTTTCCAACTCAAACTATTACGAATTTCATAACGTGCGACGGATTTAATCAGCCGTTATTCCCATGCGTATTGATTTTATAACGGCAAATTTAATCGTCCGTTATTCGTATTGATTTTATAACGACAGATTTAATCGTCCGTTATTCGTATTGATTTTGTAACGACAGATTTAATCAGCCATTATTATTCCCGAAATGCTCTCCCCTCTGTTCTATTTTTTTTTATCGAAATTATTCTTCCTCTGTTTTATATTCTCTGCATTTTTGCACTGTTTTCGATAGTGTTCAATTCCACAATTTGTTCAAGTTCGCCAGAAGCTTGAAGTGCTTATTACTTCTTAGCCGTCAACCATTGTATCTTGGGAGACAGATGTTCATGAAACCTCGATCGCGTGCCGGAGGGAAGGAATCTGTTTTAAGGAAACTATGTCGAACACAGGCCTCAGTATCCATTTGTATCGATTCCAATTCTGTTATTGTAATTTCATTTTTTTACAATTCTGTATTGTTTGTAATATTTATACTAATGCCGATTTGAATTTCGCAACAATCTTAAAACAGATTCGTGCTTTTAAAGAAATTCAAATGGCTACTGGGAACGAAGTCGTGGATGTGGCTGCTGGAAACGATGGTGTCGATGTGGCTGCTGACAACATCACCAAAAACTCTGCCTATGCCTCGGCTGTCCAACTGCATGGCTCATCCTCTGTTCCTTTTACGGTTTTTGTCCACCATGGTGAGAAACCTGAAAAGTTTGACGGATAGAACTTTAAAAGGTGGCAGCAAAAGATGTTTTATTTAACAACTTTGAATCTTGCAAGATTCTTGACTGAGGAAGCTCCTAAGATATCTGATGGAGAAACGGATAAGCAAGCCTTCAACGCTATTGAAGCATGGAAGCACTCTGACTTCCTGTGTAGGAACTATGTCATGAATGGTTGACATGACTCATTGTACAATGTCTATTGTGCAAAAAGGACGGCAAAGGAATTATGGGAAGCCTTGGACCGAAAATATAAAACAGAGGATGCCGGAGCAAAGAAATTTGTTGTCGGTCGATTCATTGATTATAAGATGGTGGACTTTAAGACTGTGATCAGTCAAGTGCAAGAGATTCAAGTGATCTTGCATGAAATTTAAGCTGAAGGAATGATCTTGAGTGAAACCTTCCAAGTGGCTGCTATTATTGAAAAGCTACCTCCTGGGTGGAAGGATTTCAAGAACTATCTCAAGCATAAGCGAAAGGAAATGAACCTAGAAGAGCTGATTGTTAGACTTCGAATTGAAGAAGACAATAAAGGATTTGAACGCAAATGGTTCAATCTTACTACATCTAAGGTAAATGTTGTGGAGCTTAGGCAAGGCCACAAGAACAAGAAGATTGCCAAGCCAAAGTTGGGACCAAAAGGAGAAGTTTCCAAGAACAAGTTTCAAGGAAAATGATTCAACTGTGGCAAGATGGGGCATAGATCTGTGGATTGCAGACTTCCGAAGAAGAAGAAGAATTATGAGGCAAATATGGTGAATGGCATCGCTCAAGACGTGTCAAACATAAACCTTTCTGCAATGATCTATGAAGTAAACTTAGTTGGGTCCAATCCGAAAGAATGGTGGATTGACACTAGTGCCACTAGGCACATATGCTCTAATAAGGACCTGTTCACAAATCTTGAATCAATTAATGGGGAAAAGGTTTTTATGGGAAACTCTGCCTCTTCTGCTATCGAAGGCCAAGGGAAGGTGTTGCTGAAGATGACCTCTGGAAAAGAGCTGACTCTAAACAATGTCCTATATGTGCCAGAAATCCGAAAAAACCTAGTTTCTAGGTCTCTGTTGAACAAGCATGGATTTCGTATGGTGTTTGGGTCAGATAAAGTTATTTTGTCTAAATCCGGAATGTATGTGGGGAAGGGATATGTAACTAATGGGCTTTTTAAGCTCAATGTAATGACAATTATCAATAAAGATAATAAGTCTTTCGTTTATTTGCTTGAGTCTTCCAATTTATGGCATGGTAGACTAGGACACGTTAATTATGATACATTGCGTAGATTAATTAACTTGGAACATATACCTTCATTTCAAATTGATTCAAAACATAAATGTGAAATTTGTGTTGAGGCAAATTAACGAGATCTTCATTTCAAACAATTGAAAGAAACACCGAACCCCTTGAATTAATTCATAGTGATGTTTGCGATTTGAAATTCGTACAAACGAGAGGTGGTAATAAATATTTTATTACCTTTATCGATGATAACACTAAATACTGCTATGTGTATTTGCTTAAAAGCAAAGATGAAGCCTAAGAGAAATTTATTCTCTATAAGAATGAAGTTGAAAATCAACTTAATAAGAGAATTAAAAGATCGAGAAGTGATAGAGGTGGCGAGTACGAAGTACCAATTGGTGAATTCTGTGCACAACACGGAATTATACATGAAATAACTGCGCCTTACTCTCCTCAATCAAATAGTGTTGCTGAACGTAAAAATCGCACATTGAAAGAAATGATGAACGCGATATTACTAAATTTAGGTTTGCCTCAAAATATGTGGGGAGAAGCTATACGGTCAAGCAATTACCTTTTAAATAAGGTACCTCGAAAGAAAGAGGATAAAACCCCTTATGAGTTATGGAAAGGTAGGAGACAATCCTACAAACACTTACGAGTGTGGAGGTGTCTTGCAAAAGTGGCGGTTCCAACACCAAAGAAGACAAAGATAGGTCCTAAAACGGTGGACTGTATCTTTATAGGCTATGCACATAACAGTAATGCATATCGATTTCTTGTGCATGAATCTAAAATTTCAGATATACACAAGAATACGATCATGGAATCTAGGAATGCATCATTCTTTGAAAATGTATTTCCTTGTAAATCCAATGATGGATCAAGTTCATCTAAACGAAAGAATGAAACTATGAATGAAGAAAGTCACGATTCGGCTCATGAAATTCATGACTCAGATCAAGAACTAGAACCGAGACGTAGCAAAAGAGCAAGAGTGGAAAAATCTTTTGGAAATGATTTTCTAACTTATTTGTTAGAAAAGGAACCATTAAATTATGCAGAAGCTGTGAATTCTTCTGAGGGACCTCTATGGAAAGAAGCAATAAAAGTTGAAGTTGATTCTATTTTGCAGAATCATACTTGGAAATGAGCAAGAGTGGAAAAATCTTTTGGAAATGATTTTCTAACTTATTTGTTAGAAAATGAACCATTAAATTATGCAGAAGCTATGAATTCTTCTGAGGGACCTCTATGGAAAGAAGCAATAAAAAGTGAAGTTGATTCTATTTTGCAGAATCATACTTGAGAGCTAGTGAATCTTCCTCCTGGTTGTAAGCCTTTAAAGTCCAAATGGATTTTTAAAAAGAAAATGAAAGCAGATGGCTCCGTTGATAAGTACAAAGCCAGACTTGTGATCAAAGGATACAAATAACGAGAAGGCTTAGATTACTTCGATACTTATTCTCCTGTGACGAGAATAACTTCCATTAGGATGATACTTGCAATTGCAGCATTGCAAAATCTCGAAGTACATCAAATGGATGTAAAAACAGGTTTCCTAAATGGTGATTTGGATGAAGAAATCTACATGGAAAAACCTGAGGGTTTTATAGTTCCAGGACAAGAAAGGAAAGTCTGTAAATTGGTGAAATCATTGTATGGCCTAAAACAAGCACCAAAGCAGTGGCATGAAAAGTTTGATAATGCAATGATTACTAATGGTTTTAAGATCAATGAATGTGATAAATGTGTCTACATTAAAGAGACAGCAAATGGCTATGTCATTTTGTGTCTTTACGTAGATGACATACTATTTATTGGTAGTGATGATAAAATGATCAAATCTATCAAGTGTATGTTGAATTCAAGATTTGACATGAAAGATATGGGACCTACTAATATGATTTTAGGAATTAAAATCACAAGAACGTTAGAAGGTCTTATTTTAAACCAGTCACACTATGTGGACAAGATTCTTGAAAAATTCAAGATGAATGATTCTGGTATTGCTAGAACACCATTAGACAATAGTCTTCATCTGTCCAAGAATAGAGGAGAGGGTATATCTCAAGTAGAGTACTCCAGAGTTGTTGGAAGTCTAATGTACTTAATGAGTTGTACTAGACCAGACATTGCCTATACGGTTAGTAAATTGAGTAGATATACGAGCAATCCGAGTGCTGACCATTGGAAAGTAATAGTGAGAGTATTCAGGTACTTACGATATACTCGTAATTATGGCCTGCATTATACCAGATACCCAGCTGTTCTAAAAGGATATAGTGATGCGAACTGGATATCTGATATAAAAGACTCAAAATCTACTAGTGGATATGTATTCACACTAGCAGGAGCAGCCGTATCTTAGAAATCCTGTAAACAAACTGTTATAGCCAGATCTATAACGGAATCTGAATTTATAGCTTTAGATAAATGTGGTGAAGAGGCTGAATGGCTACACCATTTCTTAGAGGATATTCCAAAATGGCAAAAACCTGTGCCACCAATAAGTATACATTGTGATAGTCAATTTGCGATTGGAAGAGCACAGAGTAATATGTATAATGGTAAGTCTAGACATATACGTCGTAGACATAATACCATTAGATAACTACTCTCAACAGGAATTATCTCTATTGACTATGTAAAGTCAAGGGCTAATATTGCGGATCCGCTAACCAAAGGGTTAAACAGAGAGTTAGTTGAGAAATCGACAAGAGGAATGGGACTGAAGCCCATGAAAGAATAAATTTATATAAAGGAAACCCAACCTAGTTGACTGGAGATCCCAAGATCTAGGTTCAAAGGGATAACCTAATTATATAAACTTAGTGATGTCACTGTGGGGGTTATCCCTAAAACCATTCCTATATAAAATAACAGTGATATTGTAAAGGAAAGGATAGCATTTTTGCTTTAATGATTCTTAAGTGGAGTAAACAAATTACTCAAAACTAAGTAATCACCTATGTGAGAGAGAAGTGGGGCCGCTTTAAAGGAGAATTATTTAAGGGCTAAATTCTTTAGAAACTCTTGCAGAACCAGGTTGATGTTCATGGCCAAAACGAACATAACTATAAGAACTGAACAAACGTTTAGATGATTCCTGTGTGAAGTGTATGGTTCATTTACATAAGAAAGCTGGACAGTTCAAGGACATCATGTCTACTGGACAACTAGTAAAGTAAATATACTTTCACAAGGGAAGGTTCAAAGGGTAACACCTACCTATCTTATGCAGGTTTCAATTGTTGAACACTATCACAGAGTCAAAACTAAAATAATTTTCATTCATGTGGGAGATTGTTGAAAATATGGGATAAATTGATGGGTGAATGAATGAGAAACTGATGCTCAAAGAACACCCTTGAGTTGGAAGTGGGAAGTGGAAAAACACTAGTCCCACATTGGAAAAGAAAGAAGACTATGGAGTGCTTTATATACAGTTACACTCATTTGAAGTGGCAACTATTATAGCACAAACTCTATGCCTCACGCGCAGGCACAAGGGGGGTGCAAATCCGACGCCCAACAAGCTGAAACTTGGGCGCGAGCGCACGTCCCGTGTACACGATTGCAGGACTGAAAAGTGGGCATCGCGACGAGCCCAATTTTGCCTTCTGATTTATTTTTTCCAACTCAAACTGTTACGAATTTTATAACATGCGGCAGATTTAATCAGCCGTTATTCCCATGCGTATTGATTTTATAACGGCAAATTTAATCATCCATTATTCGTATTGATTTTATAACGGCATATTTAATCGTCCGTTATTTGTATTGATTTTGTAACGACAGATTTAATCGGCCGTTATTATTCCCGAAATGCTCTCCCCTCTGTTCTATTTTTTTTTTATCGAAATTATTCTTCTTCTGTTTTATATTCTCTGCATTTTTGCATTGTTTTCGATAGTGTTCAGTTCCACAATTTGTTCAAGTTCGCCGGAAGCTTTGAAGTTCTGATTACTTCTTAGCCGTCAACCGTTGTATCCTGGGAGACAGACGTTCACGAAACCTCAATTGCGTGCTGGAAGGAAGGAATCTGTTTTAAGGAAACTATGTTGAACACAGGCCTCGGTATCCATTTGTATCGATTCCAATTCTGTTATTGTAATTTCATTTTTTTACAATTCTGTATTGTTTGTAATATTTATACTAATGCCGATTTGAATTTCGCAACACGTACTTCATGTCGTAGGCCTCGATTCCCAGGTGTTGCTGCTCAAACCTCAAGATAAGGTGCTCGTCCTCATCAAGGATGACGGTGCGGCCGTTGAAGTTGAGGGCTGTGTACAAGAGGGCCTCGTGGGTATGGCCGAAAATGAGGAGGTTACAGAGGGAGGCAGCGGTGGCACAACGGGCAATTGCGGCGGTTACAGTGGCGAGCTTGGTGGACGTCATGTGGGTGGAGTTGGTAATGGCAGTGTAGTGAAGGAGGGCGTTAGATATGGAAAGTCGAAGCTGGAATGAAGAGGCGGCAGAGCCCGTGGCGGTGCTTGTGGCGGCGGCGGCGGCGGCGGTGGTGATTAGGATTAGAGTGAAAGCGGTGGTGAAGAAGGTGATGATGAGGATGAGCCACAAGCGATTGGTGTTTGAAGATGATTGCTTTTGGATTGTGGGATGGAGGAGTATTAGCTTTGTGCTTTTCATATCTCTCTCTCTCGACCTCCAATGGAGGTTGGGACTAGGCACGTGACCTCCATTGGTTGAGGCGCTCGAGTTCATATCTGGGTAGCACGACCTAGCCTCGTATCCAGTCTAAATTGAATAGCTAGTTAACTGCCACATCAGTAATTTTTGTTAGTCTAGTTAACGGAACGATAATATTGAGTCAAATTCAAAAAGTACAGGTGCTCTTAAATTGCCAAATGTTTTCGGGACAAAATTGAAAAACAGGGAAAAGTTCATATATCACCCATACTGTTACCCAAAAACAAAAGAAGATAATAGGAAGCATCAAGATTGTTCGACCGGGTACATAAGTCAGAAAGCTTATTTAACAGAGAGAAGTCCTATCTGGGAATCATATTTGCAGAGAAATGGAAGTGAATAATGTATGTTTTATCTGTACATTAGATCATCCAACGCAACTGAGTGATGTCAAGACGCTATTCTGTTAATTTGTTTCAATCTCCCTTATGAAAACTAGCAGAAACGTTTTCTTGCAGATTACAAAAACCAATCTTCCATTTTCACCTCAAATACTAATTTCATATCTGCTAATTCCGAAATCTATCCACACTATGCAACAAGAGGTTTCAAAAAAATCTACACTTTGCACAATCTAATTTCCCTAGTTTGTTAGACTCGAAGATGTAAAATTTAGACCTTTTTTCAACGTGAAGGCGTAAAATGCATGCTCAAAATAATAGAAGACGCGGAATAAATCATAACAAAAAGTTAGAGAACGATTTTTGTTATCCTTCCTGCATAATGAAAAATGTAGTTGAGCCACATAGGAAGCATTAAAAATCTGATTAACTGGAAAATTGTCTAGTCACTCTTAAACCTTTTGTACGAATTCTGATTCAGTCATAAACATTCCAATTTTGTCAATTTAATCTTAAATATTTACGCAAAATTCTAAAGTTGTCCTTCCGACCACGTCAGTGATTTCCAGTAAAAATTAATTGGAAGAACTACATTAGAATTTTGCGTAAAGGTTTAGGACTAAATTAGTAAAATTGAAAAATTTAGGACTAAAGTGGCATCCATAAAATAAGTTTAGGGCTGATTGGGTTATTTTCCCTAGGATTAATCGTTCCATTATTTTCCCTTATCTTGTAGTCCTTTTAAATATGAGAATAGACAATATACACAAAAAAAAACATATATATATATAAGGTTAATACCACGAAAAATCCTAAACTGGTACACTTGTGACACATTTACCCCAAACTATTTTTTTGACCATAAAAAACCCCAAACTGGTACACTTGTGACAATTTTACCCCGAACTATTTTTTTGACAATCAAAAACCCCAAACTGGTACATCTGTGACAATTTTACCCTGAACTTACCACAAAAAACCCCAAACTGGTACATATGTGACAATTTTACCCTGAATTAAAATTTTAATATTATTTTTTATTTTTTTCGAATTTTTATTTATTTTTTTATTTTTTCCTTTTATTTTTTTTTCTTTATCTTCAACCTCCGGCGGTGCCGCCGTCCGGCGATCGGCGCAGGCGAGCGCGAGGCCGCCTCGCGGCCGGCGAGGGCCGCCCTCGCCGGCGTCGGCGAGGGCCGTCCTCGCCGAGATCCGGCGAGGCGACCCTCGCTGCATCGGCGAGGCCGCCCTCGCTTGCGTCGGGCGAGGGCCGCCCTCGCTTGCGTACGCGAGGGCCGCCCTCGCCGGCGTCGAGGCGAGGGCTGTCCTCGCCCGCCCGGGGCAAGGCGATCCTCGCGGCTCGGGCGAGGGCCCTCGCCGAATACGCGAGGCGACCCTCGCTGCGTCGGGCGAGGGTTGCCCTCGCCGGCGTCGGGCGAGGGCTGTCCTCGCCCGCCCAGGCAAGGGCGACCCTCGCCCGACTCAGGGGAGGGCGACCCTCGCCTGCGTCGGGCGAGGGCTGCCCTCTGGCTTCGGGCGAGGCAGCCCCTCGGGCGGGCGAGGCCGCCTGGGCGGGCGAGGACGGCCCTCGCCTGAGTCGGGCGAGGGCGGCCCTCGCTAGATCCGGCGAGGGTCGCCCTTGCCGAGTCGAGTGAGGGCGGCCCTCGCCAGCGGCTGCCGAGGGCGGCCCTCGCCGACTTCCGCCTCTGGCCGGTCACCGGACCGGCGACCGGCCAGAGGTTGAAGTGAAGAAAAAAAAAAGAAAAGAAAAGAAAAGAAAAAAGAAAAAATTCAAAAAAATTCAAAAAAATTCAAAAATAATATTAAAATTAGTTGGGGTAAAATTGTCACAGGTGTACCAGTTTGGGGTTTTTTATGGTAAAAAAAATAATTTGGGGTAAATGTGTCACAAGTGTACCAGTTTAGGGTTTTTCGTGGTATTAACCCTATATATATGGTATCTTACGGAAAAGAGATATGCGATATCTTTTTGCCCAAATAGTTTCCATTTTGTTAGTAGCTTGAAACGAGTCGGTGTTTTTTTTTTGGCCGACAAATTTGTCGGTGTTGATCATCACGTTTGTCCACCAAAAGTCATAAAGTTAACTTTCACATTTGCCCCGCTAATTTAGTATTTAAGTTAATTCCAAGTCCCGTTCTCACGAAAGTGGTGCTTTAATCATAATGTCCTGTTCGAGTCCGACCATGTCTTTAATTATTGCTCTGCCTAAACTTGGTATTATTGACGTAATCAGACCAATGATTGTGGCCTCCACGTAGTAAAATGACGTCAATGTACGTGAGATATCATCATCTCTTCGGCATCGAGAGAAATGTTTCTTAGTGATGCTAAAGTTAAAGATAAAAATGCCAAAAACTTCCCACTTTTCTTTTGCAAGTTACCATCTTGTCATGGAATAAAGCTTTCAAAATCCTTAAAGTTTATCGGTTTTTGCAATGTAATTTCTGAATCTTTTTATTTGTGCGATCAAAGCCGTAAATTATGTTTTGTTTGTTCACGTTGGCACCGGAAACCCCTGAGCTTTATCGGTTTAGATGACAAATGCCAAAAACTTCCCACTTTTCTTTTGCAAGTTATCATCTCGATATGGAATAACGATACCGGAAACCCCCAACCTTTATCGGTTTGTGCAACGTCGTCTTTGAATTTTTTATTTTTATTTTTTTGCAAACAAATTCTTGAACTATGGTTTGTTCGTTCACATTGGACTTCCATTAAAAAACAAAAGAAAATGCTCATGTGGCCCCCAAATGCCAAGTTGGCTCCATGTGGCTCCTACGTCCTTACCAAAGTCTCGAAAGATTAAAGAAATAACAAAATTTGAATTTTCTTCGTAGAGGAAAATGAGGAAAATTTGGAGCGACGACACCACCGTGAGCCCAAGCCCGCACTTTTCAATAGAAGCCCGCCCGATCGGCTTCGACTTTGGAAGCGGCGGCGGCGGCACCGGGAAAACCGAAGACCTTCGTTCCTCAGAAGATCAAAGCCTGTAACGAAAGGGAGCCAGTGGTTTGGGGGGAGTCGGAAGAATCTCATCTTCCGTGTAACCGAAGAGCGGTTTTTTTTGTTGTTCTGAATCGAACTCACATCTTCATTTTCACCCAAATTCATCTTCGATTTCCCGAGCTTCTGTTCTTCCATGAAACCGAAGAGCATCGTGACTGTTTTTTTCGCTGATTAGATTGTCTTTAACTGGAGCTGTACGGTTTTATGCTCAGGCAGCGAGAGAAGGTCAAATTGAGATTTTCAGAAATGTTATGGGGTAGTTGTTTTCGAATCATAATTGCTGATGGGTGTTCGTCGAATTACTCGTGATGGAACTTGCTTGTTTGATTGAATGACATTGTTTTCTTGAACTGTATGCTAGGATATTGTTTTATGCTTGATTCCGATATTGGGAACGCAAATCAAGCAATTTGAGCACGGACGCATCTTCTCCAATTCGAAATAGAGATGAGCTTCATTCCGTCTGTTCAATGTTAATATGCATGCGATTGTTCGAAACAAAGTCGAACACAATCTTTTGTTGGATTTGTAGGATCGTTACGATCCTCGATGACCTCACAAATTTTCCAAGTATTTGCCATGACGGCGTATGCAAAAGAGGAAATTGTACCTTAGACTTTTTAGCAACAGCACACCGACGCATGTCCGAAGCTCTTCTATTCATACACCAGAAATAGTGGCGATCAGTCTACGAGCGTGAATAACTCAAAGTAATCATCTTTTACATCCGCCAATAATGAAACTTAGCATCAACATTGGAAGAATAAAAAGAAAAGCTGATTTGCATTGGCCACCACTTCTTGTATAAAACTATTTATGGTTGATTAATAACAGCTAAGTCTCCTAGTAGGTCGCATGTTTTGAATGGAAGAGGTCAGATTATGTCATGTTATGGAATTTTGATTACAGTTACTTTATAGTGTGTACATTGCTAGCCAAACATTGACGAGGGGGCTCTCTCGATGGAGATTGAAGTTGTTACTATCGGATAATCTCTGGTATCAAATGTTCTACATTGTTGTGACTGAACTATGATTCAGACATCAGAGCATTGCAAAACGAAGATGGATCTTTCTCTGGGGATATGTGGGGAGAAGTCGATACTTGGTGTCTTGTCTTCATCTTTGATCAATTACAATTTTTGTGCTTCTTGAGGATGTTTCTTAACTATATGGTGTCTTGCGATACTAAAACGGTTGGATTCGATAAATGTGGAGAAGGCTGTCAGATATATAGTGAGCTAGCAAAACTTTGGATGGCGGGTTTGGTTGCACTCCTGGTGCAGGGTCTCATGTCAGATAACCATATGCTGGAGCTCTTTCGCTGGTTTCAAATATCTGATTGGTGCTTAGTAAGTCATGTATCTGCTTAAATACATGGTGGTCTCCTAATTATGTTGGTGAAGAATTCCATTCTAGGTCCTATCTAACCAGTATTGTATATCGTTTTAGAGTGAGAAGGAAACCTGGGCTTTCGGCAATTAAATGTGGCACCATCCACATGACGGTGGATCAAAATGGACACAAATGAGCAAAAGAAATCAGTACGTGTTCCAATGACCACATCCAAAGGATAAAACCGAGTTGCCACAGTTTTAAAGTGACTCATCTTAGACGTGAGAAAGTAGGAAGGAATTGCTGATGTCACAGGAGAATTAGGCATAAGACAATGAAGCACTAAGGAAGTAAATTGAGATGCACAACTGCCTGACCAAGCACCTTGCTACAAAGTGGCTCATTTTTCTCTCTTCTTTCAGTTCAAATCAGAGGATCGTTGCAAAAACGGATGCTTCAACATATAACAAAGCCGTGTGTACTTTGTCCAGCCAATTGTCCAGTCGATCACCCAGTAATTTGACCTGTGGAATCCCCAAAACTCTTGGCTACACCCATGAAATATATACTAACCACTCAACTTGATCAATTATGCCCCATTAAGATGAACCTAAGTTGAGATTCTAATGATTAGACTACTGTAAAATAAGGTAAATGCTTGAATATCGGTTTTCCATTACGTATGCTAGAGCAGAGAAGGTGCAAGCAATTACAACATCCATGTATTTGCCATTACGGCGTATGCAAAAAAAGGAAATTGTACTCTAGATTTTGAGCAACAGCACACTGACGCATATCTGAAGCTCTTCTATTCTTACACCAGAAATAGTGCCGGTCATTCTACAAGCATGGATAAATAACTCAAAGTAATCATCTTTTACACCCTCCCAATAATGAAACTTAGCATCAACGTTAAAAGAATAAAAAGAAATGCCGATTCGCATCGGCCACCACTTGTTGTATAATACTATTTATGGTTGATTAATACTAGCTAAGTCTCTTAATAGGGCGCATGTTCACAGCAGTCACTTTAGGCACATTCCGTGCAGCTAACCCACAAACTTCTAGCCCCTTCAACCATATGCAGCAGACCTCAAATTAACAATGGAAAATGCAACTGCACAAAATATGAAAATAAAACCTGGTTATCCCATTTAATTCCGTATGATGAACCGAGAAGAGAAGCATTTTTTGCTTCATTTTCAATCATTGAGAGCTCCTCACAGGTAATAAAGAGACAGCGAATACTCATTAAAGCGACCATTATTCAAACCTTAGAGTATACTTACAGAGAAACTCTTCATGAGAAGATGCTCAACATCCTGTGTAGAAAGCTTTGTGCGCTCTGCATCAACATTCATGGGAATGGTTCGATCCTCAGATGGTCGACTCCGAAAATTCACATCGCCGTTCTCCATCAAAGCTGTAATAAACTCTGTTTCCCAAAATATGTAACTTTCTAATCTTAATTCAGCTCACCAAATACACACAATTCTTGTAATACCCCAACTAACAGATGCACAGCACGGCGGCAGATGATTGCACTCAATCGAGCAGTCCACAGAAGCATAGCAAACATAACTAGACTGGGCTTTCCAAAAGTCAAACAATTGCAAGAGAAAGCAGACCCTTATACAGTTATTACCATATGAAGCTAGAGCTCGAGCTCATGCTTAACTACGCAAAGATAAATCACACAAATTACATTTAACTAAACACCAACCGCCACACCACTCGTGCCTGTTCTTCAGCGGTTAGCTGGTGATCAAGAGCTTGAATTCAGGCCCATGCCTCCCGCCACTGATGGAGTTAATGAGTGCAACCATCTGAGCCTCATGTGGTACCAAATTCCTCCAGCTGAGCGGCAGTGGAGATGAAAATGTGCACGAGAGTGAAAAGTGACACTGAAGAAGGACTTGAAGCTCTCGGACATCCAACTTGAAGCTCGCTAAGACGGGCTTGAAGCTCGCGGACGACGGAACCTGGGAAACGAAGGGATGACGGCGAACGACGGATTGAAGCTTGCCATGAATGAGAGAGCAGCGACGAAGATTGGGCGCGGAGCGGCCGAGGATCGGGCGACGGCGCGATTTGCTTGAGCAGCAGAAGAGAGAAAGAAGACAAACGTGGAAAAGAGCCCTAATCCCAATTCAATTCGGGATTTTCTTCAATTTTTTAACCGATTACAGATTTCGGACAAAATTGCCCTCCTTTTAGTCGCCAGAAAATGTCGGCCGGTGAACATTTGGCCGACTGGCTAGCTCATGTCCTTATTTGAGACTGATTTTTTCACTTCAGATCTTATTTTGATAAAATGGCTTTGCTTCAAGCATGCGCTTGTTTCACGGAAAACTCAAAATTTGAAAAAATATTTTTCAAAATATGATTAGTTCTATCGCTCGTAAAAATTCGTTAACGGAAAATATTTTTATAAACGATAACAATTTATCCCAAATTATTTTCGTGATTGATGAAATTATTTTTCAATCATTCATCTTTATAAACGACATAAATAATCATTTCTTAGAAAATATTTTCCAAATCTTAAGTTTTCTGTAAACCACATGCACCCAAGCTTTTATTTGAAGTCTTCCCCTCTTTTTTTTTCCTCGTTCTTTTGCCGACTCTGTCTCTCTCTTTCTATTCTCCTCTTCATTTTCCCGGTTCTGCAGAAGGAAATAATATGGTGAGTTTGAGGTCTGTTGAACCTAAATTTCTCTTAAGAAAGGCCCTTTTGTTATAGATGGTGAAGGATTGTAATATCCCCCAACCTCACCACCGAAGTTGACACACACACACACACAGCATATGGAGATTCCAAGTAAGATGGGGCATTTTTAATGAGATTGTCCTTGGTTGCACGTTTTAGAATCGGTTCATTGTCTCTCTTCGCTAGAATAAAGCAGAAATAGAAAGCAAGCAAAGCAGAAGAAACAACGATGATATATGAATAGAAAGAAGGCGCACCGTTTTCTGCAGGGGATCCCCTGTTTCTGTTTCGGAGTCTGTTGTTTCAATTTCAGAGACCGACGCTTGCTTTGTTCCATTCAAAATCTTCTCTTTGTAAGACTCCCAAGTGACGATAGATTGACCACAGTCGGGTAACTCCCCACTACATGTTATGTACATGTTACACTTATTTGGTATTTTTGAGCTCGATGCATCAAAAATCCTTTCCAGTGATCTGCACCCATCAATTTCCAACTGATCCAAAAACTCTAATTCATCGATGCCCTCGACAACTTGCAGGCTCGGGCACCGCTTAAGAGTTAACTCCATCAAGTTCTTCAAGTTTGACAAATCGCCTAACCTTTTTAATGAAGTGCACCCTCCAACAGAAAATACTAATAATAATTCCAACGTAAAAACAAATTGAATATCCTGTAGCCCTGGGCACCCCCACAGAACGAATTTTTGAAGCTTCTGTAGGGAGCTTGGGAAATGGAAGGCTCCCCTCCAATGATCAATCAACTCGAGAGCTTGTACCTCATTGCACCCCGGCTCCTCCCGCAGACAAACCAACCTCTCTAACGATCCATAGTATTCGAAAAATTCAAGTTCAAGTTGTTGTAACGCCTTGTTTTCTCCTGATTGTCTCGAACTTGATGAAACGAATACAGTCTCCTTCTCCGATGGAGGAAGCCGTACTTGTTTCCCTCGAGTGTCGTAGAGCTCTAGAATTATCAACTTTGACGGAAGTTGTCTAAAAGTTGGCACATCTACTCCATGTAGAGTAAGTTCTTTCAGCTGAGAAAGGGAACCCAACTCTGTAGTTGGTGCACGGACATTTGAAAAGCCAAATTGCAGCTTGCTCAATTTGGATAAACTCTCAATCCAATGCAAGTCGCAAGTTTGAATTCCATCTAATCTGGCCATAGATTCAGAGCCATCAGATAGGGCCAGTTCAACTAGATTAGTAAGGAATGAGAGGTTAGGGACAGTCGGCAACGATGTAGATGTCAACTGTAGAGTGGTCAAACTTATGGGGAGCTCCGGCAACTCTTGTATCCCATCACAATGATTCAAACGCAGTGTATGGAGTTGAAGAAGCTTGCTCATTGTACTGGGCAGTTTTTCAATCGGTGTGAATGATACGTCGACAGATGACAGGCTTGATAGTTTACTAATGGAATCCGGTAATCTTGTAATTCCCGTGCTTGATAGATCCAGCTTCGTTAACGACTCTAATTTCAAAATTGAGTCGGGGAGCTCACTCAAGCGATCACAACTCCTAAGAGAGAGGTGTTGCAGCTTCCGCAACTCTCCAATTTGTGCAGGCAATTTTTCAAGTTCAGAACATGACTCAAAACACAACTCAGTCAGTCGCATCAGTTTTCCAATAGAGCAATCAATTTCCATCAAAGACAAAAATTGAGAAATAGTCAACTTCTCTAAAGCTGAGTACTTGGGAAAGGTTGGTGTCCGATGTATCGTACGATTACTCTTAATAGTGAGAACTTTCAATTTCCTTGCCAGCTACAAAAGCCAATGAAACTTCAGAACAGACAAGAAATAAATGTGGATTTAGGCTACCAATGAGAAAATTAGATAATAAATCCATCAAATTTTGTCCTTCATTGAATGAGAAAATTAGACTAAGAAGGAAACCGGCGTACCTCGATTAGGCTCTTGAACACATCTTCCATGATATCAAGCCCAGTAAGATTCACCACAACCGCGTTTTCTAGATGCAACAAATTGGTTGCCTCCAAACATTGACTAGGGCCGCCACGAATAGAATAACTGAAACTCAAACTGATCCATTTCAACTCGGAAAGACAGCCTGTAAAGTCACCTTTGCAGGTTTCCCAAGACAACCAAAGAAACCGTAAATGTGGGAACCGCTTTATTTGCTCTGAAGTGATAGTTGCAAGATTTCTCGAACGGAGTGCCTGAACGCTTTCCTGGGTCTGCTAATGACATTGAGGAGCAGAAGCAGGAATTTGTCAATATCCCACAATTTTATTTCGTAGAAGAGAAGAAAAAACGAAACAGAAGAGTAGCTCCCAATTCATAAACGTGAATCCTCGATTAAGAAGAGGATATAGGCAATTTTCTATTCAGATTTGGCCATACTTTACCTTTGTTGATCTTAATTCGTAAATGATGTCCTCTTTATCCCACAATCTGGTGTGCCCTTCTTTGGCAATTACCCTTCCAAGATCTCTAAGCTGATCGTGCATCCAAAACCTATTACCACCTAAAACCTTTATCATGCACCTCTCACTAAGGACCTCGATGGCATCCTCCGGGCAAAACTGACAATCTTTCCACACGTACATTGGATTAGTCTTATTCTCACCAATGAAAAAGCATGCAACATCGAGGAATATCTCTTGTTGATTTGGCTCTAAGGCATCATAGCTAATCCTTAGCTTTGCCAAGACATCCTTATGAGGTGTTTTCTTTAGCTTCCCTAGCCACTCTTTCCATATTTCTCTCTTTTTCTGATAAAGCGATGAACCTATTACTGCAAGAGCTAAAGGTAATCCATCTGCAGTATAGACAATCCTTTCTGAAAGAGTGTGGTAATTGGCTGCAGGAGAGTTGTCATTGAAGGCATGCCTACAAAAAAGTTTAAGTGCATCCTCGTCGCTCAACCCCATCATTTCATAACAGTAAAATTTATTCTCACCCCTAGTTTTCAGAACGCTCTGGTCCCTAGTAGTAACAAGTATTCTAGTACCTGGATACAAAGTTTTCTCTCCAATTAGATATTGGATCTGGTCGGCCTCATCAACATCATCCAATACAATTAGCGTCTTCTTGTTGCAAATTGTTTCTTCAATCGTATTGATCCCATGATCAATGTTAGAAATGTTAGGAGCCACACTATAGGAAGAGATACTGGACAATAATTTTTTATGCAGCTCGACTAAGCCCTTGGTTTTTGCCGTTTCCCTCACGTCATCAAGAAAGCAGCAGTTTCTCCCAAAGTGAGGACATAGTTGGTTGAAGATAATCTTGGCGAGGGTTGTTTTACCGATACCGCCCATCCCGTAAATTCCAATGAGCCGCACACCACCGGAGTTGATGTCTAATAAATCGTTCATGGCTGCTATTTGATCCTCCATTCCAACTAAATCTTTGGTCACTCGTCTTTTTCTTGTCTCGAGCCTGACCACAACCGCTTCAACAACCGACTGGATAAGTTCCCCATCGCTGCCACGAAGTTGAAAAGTTTCAATTGAGAAAAGGTGACAAATTTGCATGTTGACCAATCATCTACTAAGCGACTGGGTGGGAACGCGATCAAGTTTAGGATATATAAAAAGTTCAACGTTACCCCCAAAGCTTGAGGAACATGATGAATTACGAACTTGAAAATCCATTACAAGTTTAAGTTAAAGGAATAGAGAAAGAGAAATGTTTGATCTTTATATCAAGCAGAAGAATCAGAATGTCTGGCAAAAAAGGGTAGAAGAATCCAAATATAAACATCTAATGAATTACAGTAATAGAAGATTTACTTATTTCTTTCGACGTGGAAAAGAACTTTGCAAAGGCAACAGTTCCTTAATCAAGTTCTCTGGCATACAATAGGAATCTTAATACATACATGGATCAAATTAGTGTAAAAAAGATGAAGCAAAGCCAAATTTTTTATATGATGGAAAATAAGTGAAAAACGAAATTAAATAACCCTATTAGGTCAGAAAAAAATTTGGAAATCTCGTGGTTCAAAAAAACTAAAAGAAGAATTTGAAACTTTCTATTTAAAAGAGGGAAATTAGAGTTTGAATATAATTAATGAATTTTTATAAGAACAATGGTCCGATTTTACAAAATTATTTTCACAATCATGGTTAGAAAGTTACCCTGAATAATTATTCGGCTCCCATCCCTTGATGCCGCCAACTTTTTTGAGAGCCTGCCGCCACGTCTCTACATCATCAGAGCTGAACTTCTTCTTCTGATCCTCCATCTTTTGCTCCAAATTCGATATGGCTTCGTTGTACAACATGGTTTTCAACTTCACATCATCAGGTTCCACGTTGTAGAAGATGGGCAATATGACTTTCTTATTCCCAGCTTTAGATTTAGAGGTGTTCTCCACCATCTTCGCCAGCTCTCGAAGGCACCAGTGACTTGAAGCATAGTTTTTGGAGAAGACGGGTATGTAGACCTTGGAATCATCGATCGCTCGCAGAAGATTGTCACTAATTCTTTCACCCGATCGAAGATCCTCGTCATCGATGAAAACACGAATCCCGGCATCTTTCAAGACAACGTAGAGGCAATTAGTGAATCCACAACGAGTGTCGGGTCCTCTAAAACTCAGGAACACCTGATACTCACTTCCATATGTATTGCTTGTGCTCGTTCCGGTTTCTGAGCTCACCATAGGAGCTCACTTCGCACTTAGCAGGGTGAGCCCTCTCTCTGTGTCTCCAACAGACACTGTTGAAATACTTTCTACTAGCAAAATCGCACAAAGCCTTGCGGTCCCCGAATGTGAAAATCGCACAAAGCCTTGCGGTCCTCGAATGTGAAAAGCCTTTATTACATTCTTAATGTGAAAAGCTCTCTCCACCAGATCATCCTCCCTCAGGAATTTACAAAAGGAGAACCAGGCCGTTACATTAGAAAAGGAGAAAAAGGATGTTTATTATAGGGACGTTTGTATTGAAAGTTAAACGCAACTTCGGTGGAGCGTCCAATTTATAGTCAATAAAGTAGGTGGATTTACAATTAATAAGGTGGAAAACAATAATGGAGGTGTACATTTTAACATGCCCAATGTCTTTTGAGTTTCTTCTTCGTGCTTTTCGCTTTGTGCTTTTGAACTTTTGGATTATAAAAAGTAAGATTCTCAAACATTTAAATCATTTATGATTATTCTATACCTATATCTATAGTTGGACATACTTAAAATCTCAATTCAGTATTGTAAATTCACAATTTATCTACATAAATGCATAATAACAAAATATTCCTAAATAATCGCCTCTTATTATGACTCATGTTTCCTTTCTTCTTCTTTATTTTCTTCGGCTGAATTTCCTCTTTAAATACGAACGGGAGGAGCTCTTGATGTGATAGAGAGCTATGAGGGCTGCACAAAGGAGATTGGAAATTTCCTCTTAAAGGTTTTTTTTAGAAAGGTTTTCTTCTTACCAAAATGGCTGAGTTGAAAGAAACGAGTGAGATAGGTATGCTATCCCCAAAACCAACAGGCACACCTAGCCATTCCAAGGGGACTAAATTATAGTCTCTTACTTGCTTCTAAAAAACGATCATTTAAGTTCCAAATTTTCTGATTCATAGGTACCACATTGTAGCAAGTGGAGAGTATACTTTAATCATATCACCATACTGAATTAATAGCAAGATCCTAATTAGAAGAGATCATTCTAGGAGAAGAAAGGACAGAGCTTAGGGAGCCATGATTTTGAATACAACACGATTTTATTTTCGTGGCTAAGTCTTGCCCCTTCTTAGCACAATACATTGCCTTGTATAGGCATACCTTGGTGTGGTTATAGAAGCATTGGATTCCTCTTATATAATAAGTAGTACAAGCATCTTTAAAGTAGAAACACCGACACTCTAGTAGTACAAGCATCTTTAAAGTAGAAACACTGACACTCTCACAAACATATCACATGCCTATTTCATTGCAGAATCCTTCTTTAGTGTTGCTAGCAGCTCTGTCTCAGTTGTCTCCATCATTTTGCTGTCCAATAAGCTTGAATAAGGCTGTCAATTTCCCACTAAGACAAGTCACATCAATAATGTGAGGAATTATTCGAGAATTGTACTTAAAGGACGTAATTGGAAAATGTGGCATCGAAAAAGTGTTGTGGGGAGTCTAACCCCTCCCCACACATAAATGAACCCCCCTACTACAATTGTCTTTCGTTTTCTCGCAAATGATCAGCCTAATTTTCTTAAATTGATTGGTGACCACTTCATCTCCTTCTTTGAATAAAACCCTAGAAATGGCCCAAAACTTCCAAAACCCTTTTCCAATTACATAGCTGCTCCTCCTGCAGAACAAAACCTCGGAGCTCAGGAACGTTGGGCAAGGCACTACATGACCTATGTGAATACTTCAACATGTTGATCTAGTTTGGAGGGCTATATATTGCATCAAAGTGGTTGTTGAAGGTTGGCCGAGTTGAACAAAATGCTTTCAAGGTTTTTTTTTTTACTTCTTTGCTTATTCTTTGAAAAAAAAAATTACAATTGTCGCGACCCGCCGGATTTTCTCTGGGAGAGGGCTGGCCGGCAGGGGTGAAAAAGGAGAAGGCCAGGTTGACCCAGCCCAATCCACTTTTTTTCTCTTTTTCTTTTTTTTTTAAAATTAATTAAAAGAAGAAAAATACACTCTAATAATGGAAAATGTACTTATGTCTATATGCAATGTAATTAAAATTCAAATTTTTTTGGTTTTAGAAATTAAGGACATTAATTCCTAAATTTTTTAATAATTAATTTTGGGTAATTAAAAATAGGTGTTAACAACGATTCTACTCGTAATTCTCTAAGAGATTGTTGATGTAATTATTGTACAAAGTGCCTTGAGTGTAGAGTGAAATTAATGTACTTGTAGAGCGAGCTACCGTTCTTTTTGGAAAGGCAATTTCATCTTGAAGGCTTCAAGTATTGCATTAATGGATTTAAGCCTTGTTGATAGACAGAAAAATTGTTCAAAAAGTCATAAACTTATTACATGACGGTCAATGCAGTTCTAAACTTTTCAATTTGGTAAATTTAGTCCTAAACATTATAATGATTTTCGAATATAGTCTATCCTACCAATTTTGGTCGAAAATTATTGACGTGACAGTCCAGTTAGTGCTTGCCGTATTATATGGCATAGCTGGACAACCGATGGCTGAAGTGAATGATTTTTGCAATTTCATTTAAATTTTCTAAATTTTTTTCTTCGTTTTCTTTTCCTTCATCTAAATAGAATTTGAGTACGAGGCGCTTGCCTTCTGAATCCACCCGGGCTGCTTCGATATCACCACCGTGAATCTTGACCCTAGACATCATAAATTTTTCTAATGTTTTGTGACTCAAGAAATTCAATCAAATGAGTGGATGATTATCGCTTCCATTCTTCGTTTCTGAAAATGAAAAGTGACTTTTACCCAGAAAAGAGAGAGAAAGTAGAAGGGTAAAGAGCAAGGACTTCGGAAGCTCTCGTCCTCATCGGAAGGTGATTACGAAGGTCCCTACAAAGTATTGTAGTTAAATGATTAAGCTTATGCTCCGTTTGTTTTGTAGTATATGAATAATTTGAAAAATATTTTCTTAAAAATAATAATTTATATTGCTTCAAATAATTAGTTAATAATTTATCTCTAAATATTTTCGTAAATGATGACAATATTTCTTATTCATTTATTTTTTATAAGCAATATAAGTTATGATTTTTAGGAAAATGTTTTTCAAATCATTTACTTTTTCGCAAGATAAACGCACCATTAACTTCTTGTTTTTCCTCTTTGATACCATCCAAGTTCGTTGCTCCAGAGCAACAGCACCCCCACTTATTCAATGAAGCTGCAAGTATGTCAAAATAAAAGAAAAGAAAAACATTACCATTTTGGATGAATCGGTAGAGTGACGAGAGACGCAAAGCGAGAACAGAGAGCATTCATTTAGAATCGAAGCAGGGTCGGAAGTGAGTACATGGAGGTGTCTGTCGATGAGCTTCCAAACGACGACGTAGTCCCAAGCCATCGAGATGACTAGAGGTGTCAACCACTTGGGCTGCGCATGACAACGATTCTGTGCCCGGGAATAGATTCTGCTCAGAAATGATTCTTTTTTATTCTGTGCCCGGAATAGTTTCTGAGCATTTTAAGGCGTTTGTTAACGGCCCAAAATTCCATCCCTGGAATAGAAAAAGAACATAAATGCGTTTGGTAACGCCACAAAATTTCTTTTTATTAATAATATTTTTAAATATTTTAATATTTCTTTTTTTTTTCTTTTCCTCCTTCTTGGCCATAGCCTGCTCGCCGGCCATGACCGGTAAAATATTTTTTTATTAATAATATTTTTATTAAAAGTATTTTTTCTTTTTTTTTGCCATGGCCTGGTCGCCGGCCATGACCGGTAAAATATTTTTTTTTTTATTAATAATATTTTTTATTAAAATATTTTTATTTTTTTTTGGCCTTGGCCTGGTTGCCGGCCATGGCCGGTAAAATATTTTAATAAAAAATATACATTTTTTATTAAAATATTTTTATTAAAAATATAAATTTTTATTTTTTGGGCCATGGCCTGGTCGCCGGCCATGGCCGGTAAAATATTTTTTTATTAATAATTTTTTTATTAAAAATATATATTTTTATTTTTTTTGGCCATGGCCTGGTCGCCGGCCATGGTTGGTAAAAAATTTTTTATTAAAATTTTTATTAAAAAAATATTTTTTTTTTTTCCCATTAAAATATTTTGTTATTAATAATATTTTTAGTAAAATATTTTATTTTCCTTGCAAATATTTTTATTAATAATATTTTATTAAAAATATATATGGCTATGTAAAATATTTTTTTATTAATAATATTTTTATTAAAATATTTTTATTAAAAATATATTTTTCTTTTTGGCCATGGCACGATTGCCGGCCATGGCCGGTAAAATATTTTTTATTAATAATATTTTTTATTAAAATATTTTATTCTCATCAGATCCGGCGAGGGCGGTCCTCGGGCCAGACATTAGAAGCTACATTAAAAACCAAGAAAAGAAAGAAGAAAAAAAATTGATTCTCAAAATTGTTCCCAAAATCAAGAAGCTACTTTTTTTTTATTCTTGATTCTGCTCCAAAACTAATTCTGGGCACAAATTTGCAAGAATTTGTGCCCAGAATCAAAAAATTAAACAAACGCATTTATGTTCCCAAACTGATTCTGGGAATAAAAGAACAGAATCAAACACTGTTTGGCAAGTTGTCATGTGCAGCCTTGACCGACGTTTGAACAGCTCTCATGGTTGATGCTTGTTTCTTCTCCCAACACCCTGACAAATTACTGCGAAGCTTTGCTTGCTTTTCGCTTCTTCCCCAACTATCGCCTAGATTTGCACAAGAGCATCACGGCCCTTCCCGGCCATAGGCAAGGGTCATGGCCATCGCTTGGATTTGGGTGAGGGCCGCAATGCCCTTTTCAGGAAGGTGAACCTTGAGGAAGGGAGTTAACAAAAAAAAATGAAAAATAAAAAATTCTCAAAATAATGTTATTTTGATCATTGATAGTCCACGTCAATACCGGCTATGCTACATTAGATACAATTGGCGATGACTAGACAGTCACGTCAACGATTTCCCGTCCAAATTGATTGGATGGGCTATATTTGCACGAGTTTTAAACTAATTTGACCAAATTGGAAAGTGTAGAATTTAATTAGGCGCCGTACAATACGTTCAAAACTTTTTTGACAATTTTCTCATTGTTAGACCATTAGCGCTTGGAAAATGGAGGAGGTTAAGTG